TGTAAAACAGATGATAACAGTAGTATTCTATAGAGATGTGCAAATTAAATGAGCTTACACAAGCTAAGTAGAGAGAACAATGCCTGGCACATGACAAGCATTCAGTAAGTGTTAGCTATTATTTTACCTTTCTGGAGGTCAATTTGGCAATGTATCAAGTTTGGTTAGCCCAATAATTCCATAATCGTGAATGAACTCAAGTATGGGGTTGTCAGAGAAGTCATGACATATTTATGTACCCAAAGTCACAGTTGCAATTTATAAGAGAAAATGGATTCACTAGAATCAATCAAAATACCTGACAAGAGAGAGCAGTTAAGCAAATTAAGATATGACAGAGCATTATGTAGTCGTTAAAAAACATGTTTTCAACATATATGGATAGTGCGATTATTGTGTTTTAATAAGCATTATATAAAATGAAAGTACTGCAATTTTACTGTGCATTCATGTGCATGAAAGATGAAAAGGAAAACATCAAAACATTAGTATTGTTAATATCCAAATGACAGTTATAGGTGATTTTTATTTATTTGTAAATCTAGATATTCATTAAGTTATCATGAACATGCATCTTTTATAACTAGAAAAGTTATCAAAATATATTCATCCCTTCAACAGACTCTAAAGAATTTTAACATAAACTGATAAACACTAATTGTAATTCATATTTTATCTATTTGTTTTTACTAGTAACACCTTCACTTGTATGCCGATGTCGTAAGAACGATACTCAAAATTGCATTATTTAAAACTTACAAACTGTCCAGTAACTTTTATAAAATCCAACAAAACTGCTTAAGAACATCCAAATAATCTTGAATGAAAATAAAAGCAAAAAATTGTCTCCAAGCTTTCCCAATTGATAACATAAAAGAAGACATACACACTGCTCATTCTAGTCTTTATCTTCCTGAAATAAAGAAATGTTAACTGCTTAGCAACATAATGAATGATGTACAAATGAAACTTCCTCTATTTTGTTGGAATGAACTGACCTTATGACTAATGTATTATTTAAAAGGCCCAATTCTTGCATTATGTCAATACTACTAAAACCATTTCAAATTCAATACTGGTAGTGATTTTCCAGCCTCCTCTAAACTGCCATCTAGGAAGATAATGTAAAATAAATGCTGTATAGACAACTATATTATGCTTTCATTTTTCACCTTCTAAAGTCAGAGAGGTACTGACAGCTATATCACAGCTGGCTGTCCTAAAAGGATCAAACAGCAGGAATTAGTCTAAATGCAAGCAACAAACTTTAACAAATCTGTTGCACCTTAATCCAGTTTTTCTAAAGAAAACACTAGAGAATAAAAACAAACTTACAGTAAATGCCATATCCTGTGTGATTTGCATCTATCTGTATATATAGTCTAGGTTGTTCCAGGCAACATTTTCCCTGATAGAAACCTATTCTGAGGATCAAAGCCATGCAGTCCCCGCCCCTCCCCCCCAAACCTCATCAACATGGTAGCTAAGAAAAATAAAATCTGAAACATTAACTGGTGCCATTTGTTGTTACTCTGATGGTCTTAAGTACACCTACAAATGATCATAAAACTCAACCCTTTATAATGTCAGTCACTCTGTGGGTTCCATCTAACAATCTCCGTATCATTATTCACTGTCCACGCCATACAAGTGGAGCTCTGTGAAGCTCATATAGAATTATGGAATGAACATCACAACCAGAGAATCTTTCCTGTCATGATTTAGCCTGTATAAACTAATAACTGAAGTCACTTTCAGGCCACACTCTTAAGGACAATCACTTTCATGTTTCCTGAATTATGAAGGCTAGGCCAAGAAAGTTAAATCACAGGCGCCAGCAATTTCATTCAAGCCCAGGTCCTCCAATTACAACCAAGCTTTTTAAAGTCAGGAAAATACAGATGGGTAAAGAAGGTTTTTCAAAGAGAAGGACAAATGGTTCACCTGACAGCAAGAATCCTATGTAGAAGGGAAAACTCAGGAGTGACACACATGGCAACAAAAGCAAAGAGCAACAGGAATTTCTTGGGGTAGCATTATTTGGTCCAACACATCAGTTTCCAGGAGTTTTGCAACTATGGCCTCCTTCCTTAAAAAAGTTGTGTGAGGGCCTCCCGGGTGGCACAGCGGTTGAGCGCTGTGCTGTGAAGCTGGCTTCTGCATCACCGGTTTGATGCCCAGGCACCGCCTGGGGGTGAGGGTCCCACATGGCACGCAGACCTCTCCTGTGGCCCACTGCTCCCCTCAGCAGTGTACTTCATCAGTCTGCCTGCTCTGCTCCCTGCTCTGGCTCTGGTGAATTCTCTCACCCTCCTGCGCTTCTAACTGTACCCAGTGCTCGTATAAATAAATAAATAAATCTTTAAAAGGAAAAAAAAAAAAAAAGTTGTGTGGACCTTGTTACCGTGGGTACCAAAAAAGCCCCAACAAAACCCAATTAAAAACATTATCAACAAAAAGATGTGAAGGGACATGTACTTTGTGCACTGCAGAAAGCTTGTAAACTGGAATAAACTTGCTCCAGCAACGAAGTGTTGTTACAGAAATCTCCTTATTGCTTTCCATCTTTAATTAAAAGAATTTCTCTTGAAATCTTATGAAAAGTTTATTTAAAATACAAGCACTTCATTAAATTGTGATATGGCATAACTTTAACTCTTACCAACAATGATGCATATTTTAATGCTCAAAACACTAAAAACACCTGATTTTACTGCTGGACTATATCTGCAGTAGGCTTACACATCTGTGCAATACCCTGTGAGCTCACTGATTACTGCACTATGTCTGCACTTACTTACATATTAGTAAAAAGAAATAAAAGCTCACTTACCATTCTACTTTGCAATGAAAACAAAACATCCCCCAAACATAATTTTAGTACTGTGCACACCAATTTCATAAAACAGAATTTGAAATCATAGCACTTAAAGACCTTTGGCTAAACTATCTTAAATTCTCCTTAAATAATAGTAACTATATACCCAATGGTAATATAAAATACAGTAAGTGATAAGTACGTGCATATATGTATATACAAATACTTTTCCTTTATGGGATATTATGCATTTACTAGCTCTGACTAGTAATTCATGCAGACTTTAGTTACATGAAAGATTGCTAACTGGAAGAAAAGAAAAATTTTGAAGATCTACAAGTACTCAAATATTTGTTAGAGAATAAAACAGTGAATGAAATACCGTATCACCGAGGTTTATCTATAACCAAGGTTCAAGCAACGACGTACATGTTTGTTTTTTTAAAAAAGGTTCTCTTCAGTGAGAAAGGTTTATAAACGATATAACAATACTTACGAAATAATTAAAATCTTGACATTCTAAAAATTACCTGGTGGTAGCCACTGAATAGCAAATACTAGTCAAAAATAAACTTCATTAACGGAGTCTAGAAAAACTTAGAAGGCAACAGGTCACAAACTGAAAGGATCTGAATTAGCTAATAACCATATGCTACTGGGAAAAAGTTTCAGCTCTGTGTGTAAACCAAGTCTTCAGGTAAGGAATAATGGAGTCCCCTCCCAAGACTCCCTCCCAACAATACAAGACCGAAAAAGCAAGATCTTGGTCTTTCGGGTTGCATTAATGTATCTCAAGTCTCTAAAACAGTGCCTGGCACAGGGTACTCAATATTCACTCAATGAATGAAGAAATGGGAGAACAGGTAGGAGCAGGCAACCCTAAAGAGATCAGAAAGCTGATCAGAAATGCAAATCATAAAAGTACACAACTGGGTAATCCCTATTAATTAACATGAGAGTTTATGTCAAATTAAGCTATTGCACATTTGGATAATAAAATCTGATTAAACTCAAACATCAAGAATAACTTTCTAGAAAGCCTGTGCAAAACTATCTTGAATTCTGAAAAATTTTAAATTTTGGTAAAAATGGTCAGAAGTGACTTAATAATAACTAAAGTCACTCACAAGTCATCAGCCCAGCTGATCCCCCTACGGCCAGGGCACCAGGCAAGTGAATTTCCTGAGTGCTTTGTCAACAGTTCTCCCTTTCCTTGTCGTTTCTCACGTTTATTTCAAAAAAAAAAAAAAAAAAAAAGGGGGGGGGGGAACCTTCAGAAATTCAAAATCGCTTTAATTAGTATCCCTACACCTCTCCCGAGTAAACCCCACCTTTATCTACATAAAGCCCAAGTCTCTGAAAACTGATCGTGAGTATTTACGTTGCTACAATTCCAAAATCCACATCAGGTGCATTCGTGCCTATTAATATTTTAAGAATTCATAGAAGCCCTGCGCTCTCCGGGCCCCTTTCTTACTCAGCTGGAACAACTCTCTGAAGTCCTTCCTCCCTGCAAACCACCTCTCAGCAGCACCAGGCTCCGGGCGGGCCGAGCCCCCCCTTTCCGCCCTCACGGCGCTGTCTGGCTCCGAGAAGCCCAGCCCTCGCTCTCCTTTCACCGTCCCGAGCGCCCCGGCCCGCCGCCGGCTCGCCCACCTGGCCGTCTACCTGTTCTGCAGCGACCGGGGAGCCCGCCCGCCGCGCACCCGGGGCCGCCGGCCGGGCTGACAGGCGAGTCCCGCGGGCCCCGCACGCCGGGGGGAAAGTTCCTCCGGGGGCACGTCCGCGAGTTCCCGCGAGCGGAGCCCCCGACCCCCGGGCCCGCGGGGCGGGGAGGCCGGCGGGCGGCCGGCGGCCATAAATGCACCTGGCGGCGGGGCCGCGGCGGGGCGCGGGGGGCGCGAGGGCGGCGGCCCCCGCCCCAGGGGCGCCGCACGTGAAAAGTTCCGCCCGCGCCGCGCCGGGGCCGCGCTCGCCTCCCTCGGGACCGGCCGCGGGCCGGGCCTCCCCGGAGCGAGCGGCGCCGCGGCCGAGCGGGCCCGGGCGCGGCGGCCCGGCCGGCGGGGGCCGGGGCGGGGGGCCCGCGCAGCCCCGTTGCGGGCGGCTCGCGCCCCGCGGCCGGTGGGGGAGGGGCGGCGCGGCCTGTTGGGGGGCGCCGCCCGGGCCTCGCGTGCGGCGCTGGCCGGCCCCGGCCGGGTCCCGGCGCCGCGGACTCACCGGAAAGGCCCGGATCCGCATCTTGGTGTCCTTCCGGCTGCCCGTGCCTTTGCTCAGGTTCGACATGGTGCTCGGGCCTCCCCGGCGGCGCGGCGCGGCTGCTCTCCAGGCGCCGGGGTCACATCTAAGGCGGCGGCGGCGGCGGGCGGCGGCGGCCCCGGGCGGGGCGGGGCGGGGGGCGGCCGGCCCCGGGGCGGCGGCTCGGGCTCCGCGACGCGGGCTCGGCGGCGGCGGCGCGGGCGCGGCGGCTCCGCGGGCGCCTCACGCCCGGCTCGGCTCCTTTATCGCGCTCCTCCGCGATGGCGGCGGCGGCGGCGACGGACAAACATCTCACTGCGCAGGCCGAACGTCCCCGCCTCTCCTCCTCCGCCTCAGCGCGACGAGATCCGGCCCCGCGGGTGGAGGGGGGAAGAGGGAGGAGAGCCCGGCCGAGGAGAGATGGGGGAGGGGGCGGGAGGGCGGGAGGGGAGGCGAAGGCCGCGGCGGGGGACGCGCGGCTCTCGCGAGAAGAGGGCGAGCGCGCTCCCCTGGGCGGGGCGGGGCGAGCCCGGGAGCGGGAGGGGGCCCACGGGCGGGGAGGAGGGGGCGAGGGAGTGGGGGACGTGGGCGGGGCGGTGAGAAAGGGGCGGGGCCGGGGGCGGGAGGCGTCAGCAGCCTTTTTGAAATGGAAGCGGCGGAGACCGGGCTGTGGGCGAAGGTGGCTGCTGATTGGTGGAATGCGGAGCGGGGGGTGGGGTTATGGTCACGTGGGAGTAGTGGGCGAGGGAAGTTCGGAGAACCTGAGCTGGATTGCAGGGGCCTGGATCGGGCGGGGCGGGGCGGGGCGGGGCGGGGCGGGGGCGGGAGTAGGACCGTCTCGGGGAGGGGCGTGGGGTGCGAGGCGGACAAGTAGGTCCTAGAACTGGTTCCTGTGTTTTTCTAGGACGTGTGAGCCAGCGATGGGTACTTGAGCAGAGATCAGAAAGTCGAAGGAAGAGTTCTGTGCAGGAGTTGACCTGCAGGGTTGGAATTTAGCATCTTGTCTGCTTAACAAGAGATTTGGGGTGCATGGGGGCACCCCAGCTCTCAGCACGAGGAGTAGAGACCATCGTCTACCAAATTTCCTTCCTCCACGCAAGCCCAGATCCTCTTGATTCACTGACACTTTGTGGGGAACCCAGCACTTATTCATATCAAGCTGGCTTTTTCGGTATCATTGAAATAAAAGAACCCCCTGAGCGTAGTGAGGTGTTTCTGGTAAACGGTGTTATGGAGGTTGGGATGATGGAAACCTGTTTTTAAGCTGCCAGAACATTATTCCCATTACCAAGGGCATTGTCAGTTGTGACAGCCACAATTATCTTCAATACAGTTTGCTGCAAATTTGGACTATATTGTTATTATTATAGCCCAAAGATCTAGTTTGAGCCATCGGTTTTGCTTTATATTTATTATGAATTTTACTTCTTAATTTGTCTCCTTAGTGTTTATTTGGATTTCTGACCTGCCTAGGAATAATCCAGTTCCCACTAAAGTTTGTGATCTTTAAAATGAGAACCTATGATTGGGCTGGGAATGAGGAGTGTATGAATGGTGTACTGTCATCCCCTACTTGATTGAAATGCCCCAATCTACCGTATTTTGGGGTTTGTTTTTTGGTATGTGCTAATCAAATCACACTCTTAGGCAATAAGGATATAGCTTGTAGCAATAGCTGTGTAAATACTGAAGCTAAAAATAGATTGTCAAGACCTGGGTTGATAAGGTAAGAATGGGAGGGGCTCTTCAATATAAGATAATAGGCATCTTGGCTAGGAGTTCATAATCTGCATGCTGACTGAACCTCTAATCCGTGATCATTAGAATAAAATAACAACCAGTGTTTTTTCTATTGCTTGTATTGTCATATGACCCAGTTTCTTTGGAATTTAAAAATGTGTGTTCTGGAGCCATTGTTTGAAATACTTATTCTAGCACTTTACCTAGATTTATTGTGTATCTTTTGGAGCCAGATCTTGATTGGTAAGGGCTCAAGTTCCTCATCTGTAAAATGGTGACAATAACAATACTTCCTCCTTGGGCTACTATGAAATTTCAATAATTTAATACATTCTGTGAAGACTTGAGTGCTCTACTCTGCAGAGACTGAGCACACAGTACCTGTTGGCTAATATTATGGGTAATTAAGTTCATACTGTCTTCCTTTTTCAACATGTAGGCTTCCAAAAACACTTATATGCTTTTATAAAATGCTTTCATTTTGAAACTAAGCCAGGCTCCAGCATTTGGATTTCACCCACCACAAAGTATTTTTTGAAAAGTTGGGGAACCAATATAGGGTTGGCAACTGTATTTTTGCAAGTGAGGCCACTGAAAGGAACAACTAGCTTAGACTAGCCCTGTCATCTTATTAAAGGAAAAGTATTTAACCACAGACATGTAGGAAGGTCAATTTTTGAGTAAAGACAGTTTTTTATGGTGATTAATTTAGCCTTACATGCAATTGTTGTGTGCTGATTTTTCTCTGTGACCCTGAGAAAATATCTTGGGCCAGCCTGTAGGAAGCCCCTGCATTAAGATATATTTCCACTTAGTTATGAAGCACGTAATTACCCTTTAATTTGTTTTGTGAATCCAGATGCTCATATGTTGATTATGTTTCAGCAAAGTTCAGCTGCGTTTAAAAGAAGCACTATCCACGGTGTCTTCTTGAGCTCTTAAAGGGCATAAAGAACCAGAAAAGCTCTTCCAGATGAATTCGTCTGCCACTGCCATTTAGAAATCTATTGCTCAAGTACTTGTTCTTTTACTCGTTTCTTCAGGAAATATTTATTGAATGGTTGCTATACGTCAGCCACTCAGGTGAAGAAGACAGATGACATCTGTTACCACAGAACACACAGTCCTTTTTCGCATCTCAGAATTTGGAAGCCACAGGTTGGATTTGGCAACAACTTTCTGTGCACTCTCATCCAGAAAGAAGAGATTTTTCTTCCTAGGGAAGCAGCCTCCTCAAAATATGCAGAAAATGTGCTTTATCTAAAGCATCAGGAAACTCACCTATGCCCAGTGGTCTTCCCTGACTTGCTACCTCCAAGTACCAACAGAACTTCCAGGATATTTTTCTGCCAGCTGCCTCCTGATCCAGCAGAGAAGGTGACCCTGCGAGAGGAAGTCACTGGATGCTTCCTGACTGCCAGTTGGCATTCCCACTTAGGCTGACCCTGTCCTGACACAAGATAGTGGTGGCCCCATTTCTGTTGATCTCTTTGGCGCACATGCAGTCAGGGGGCCCAGTGGGCCAGCCCCTGTTCTACAGCCCAGAATTAAAATGAGCCCCAAGGACTATGAGAAACCGGTGAGAGGAATAGCCTTGTCTTGGCCATGAGTGTCTAGTATCCAGGACACCAAGCCACTGTAAACACTCTATCAGACCTGCCAATTTGATTGTACAGATAATGGCTATTAAAACAGCTGCTGCCCACCAATTCAATCAGAAAGACTCATTCACTAGTTTTGAAGAGACAAATACTATGTGAGGGAAAAGTGTATGTTTTTCAAGTTGGAAGTGGAAGATTTATAGGCAGTATCACTTCCTTGAAAGTAAGGGTTAAATAAGATGACTCCAATCATCTACTCTCTTCCTCATCTAACTAGGCTACTAATAAGGATTGCAGGCCATGAGATGTGGCTGTCATGTTTACAGCAGCAGCCTTTGCACACCCTTTATAAGATCACATGTTGGAGGAGTATCCGAATGAGAACATAACCACAGATGCCCTCATGTATGAAATCTGTAGATCTTCTCCACACACCTTTTCTGCTTTGATTCTTTCCTCGAACATGCATATCTTAAGACAAGAAGCATACAAGACATAAGAGCATATGAGGCAAGTTTCATCTTGAATTAAAGAGAACTCTTAAATGCCTGTTCTATCATAAAAACCCATCTCAGAATTTCATCACATTGTCATGCTACATCATCTCCCCGGTAACTTTGGAAACTTTCTGGTTTGGCCTTTACAGAATTGTTATTCCACATTTATCCAGCAAATTGATACTTTTGGAAATAAAAATCTACATATACAACTAACTAGGGTAATGTTAATTCTTACTTAAAAGTTAAAGGCACTGCATCCATGTAATTTTACCTAGGAGAAAAAGAACTTTTTCTTATTGATAATAGTAACTGTATGAAGCACCTCCCCCCTCACCAGGGACAATTGCAAATATGTATTGCTTTCATTCCTAGCCAGAAAGGCTATGTTCAAGTGTATAATTCATCAGCTGTCTTTGTGAATATGTTGGAGTTGAGATAAAGAGTTATAAAAGTAAATAGTCTAAATGTTATGCCAAATTTAGTAACTGTGTGAACTATAAATACAACAATCGACAGAATAAACTATCATTTCAAACTTCTTCAATAAACGAATTGTATTTAGTTCACATTAAAACTGCATCTTGAATTCTTCTATCTTGAGCTAGTAAAAATCTGAGTAAAGCCAGGGAGATCATGGGGAAGATGAAGGATAACCCTTAAAGAGACTAACAGATAAAAATAATGTTGGGGTCGATTTCCAGCCCAAATTGATATAGTGAATTATACCTGATTTTAAGTATCTGAATCTTCTAGTCCTTGTGTGATTGTTATTAGGCAGAAGAACGGAATGAGCAGTTCTGAGAAAGGGGGGAAAAACATGGACCCCTTCTAAGATGAAGCCAGTAACTTCATATATAACACTGTTTATTTTTTGTTTGTTTGTTTTGTTAAGTGTTTGTATGTGCCAGTGTCTGTGTGTGTTAGTGATTGGCTATGTTTCCCCATGGCTGCGTGTGTCTTAAAACCTGAACAAGCTAGTGTCTGACAGCGTTCCAGCGTCTTTATACTTCGGTTTCCTAAGGTTCCTGTGTCCCAATGTCTCTATGTTCTTGCGTGTGTGGTTCTGAGGCTGTGGTCCAATATTTGCATGTTCTTGGCTCTCTGCAAGTCTGTAAATTTCCCTGACCCATTCTTTGTACATTCCTTTGCTTTTTGCATCCCATTGGCCTCTGTGTTCCATTGTCTATGTATATCCATCTCTGGGTGTTCCTGAGTCTTTGTCTGTATTCCCCTACTTGTGTGTCTATGGAGCTGTCTGCCCCTGATCTGTCTAATAGAGTTTAAAACCTTTCAAAGAATTTCCATTTATGAGAGCTTTTGAAATGGTACTTCTCTCTCACTGATATCCTTATTGAGAAGTACCTGTCTCTATAGGAACTTTCACATTTTCAGAAACATTGCTTTAGATGCTTTTGCCACATTCATTTATTAAGTATTTTAGTGACATTTGTCCTTCAGTGGGGTGGAGCATCCTACTGATGCCCTGATTTCCTATTTTCCTATTTTAAAGGATTCACGGTTGGATGTGATCTTGGACAGTGATTTACACTCCCTATCTCAATAGCCAACAGGCCTGATCTTTGCCTGGGGTTAGAGAATGAAGACAACGGCAGTCAGATCCTCTCCTCGGAACTCAAGGTATGTGGCTGGACACAGGGAAAGCTGGCGGCTCTGCAGGCAGTGGCGGCCCAAGTTCTTCCTACTGAATTTCTTAAATGATCATTCCTACTCCACCTGACCCTGATCCCTGCTTGTTCTCCTGCTCCTTTCACTTCCCCTCAATTCTGTGACTCCAGACATGCCTTCCCCAAATTCCACCTTTGTTGAAAATAGTTCAAGTTTGTTTCCACTGTGTGTCGGTCAGGGTCCTGCAGGAAACAGATGCCTCACTCAACTGGGAAACTGAGACGAGTTTAATTCTGGGACTATTTACAGACATGTGGGCAGAGTTAAGGAGCAATCGGGGTGATGAAGCATCTCAGCACTAGCAAGAGTAGGGAGCCTTCCCCACTTCTGAGCTAGAAGGCCTAAGGGGTGAGGTGGCACTGGAACCTGGAAGAGAATTCTCTGTCTCCGTGGGAGAGGGTGGCCTGACACGTTGAGGCTTTGGGGTCAGGACTCAAGCTACTGACAACTCCGGCTCAGTAGGGAGACATCTCACTTCCTCTTCTTCCCAGGACTTCTGGCTGATGCTTCCTGCTTCAGAATGGATGAGCCTAACTCATAGAGGTCATTAAGGCCAACCCTCTAGGGCAACGAAGAGTGGAGAAGGGTAGAGAACAGATCTGGAGAGGCAAGCAAGGAATATCCATGTGGAGTGCTTGCCAATAAAGTAGTGATACTTCACAAATTAATTTACAGAGAAGAACGCTGAATGGGAAGGGATGAGGTTGGAGAGATGGAAGGTGCCACATATGGATGGGGGGAACTGACAAGTAAAAGTAAAATACACCTGTATATTAACATACATGTTTTTTTTTTTCCCAAACAACTTCATGTGTTTGTAGAATCTGTGCCCTGTAGGTACACGGCAAAGTGCCTTGCCAAGGAGGTAAATGGAGACTCATATCAGAACTATACGCCCTGGCAAGTGCTATCATTACCTGCAGGAAGGAGCGGCTGGGCCCTTGATCAGTTCTGTCAACTGCTCTGAACTGTGAGGTGCCCTGAGCTGGATTTGCCTGCAGGTGGGCAGGGCCTTTTGCTGCTGCTCCTTTTTTTTTTTTTTAAAGATTTATTTTTATTTATTTATGCATACAAGAGCTGGGGTGTAGGCCAGAGGTGCAGCCAGAGGCAAGAGGATTCACCAGAGACAGAATGGGGAGCAGAACAGGTGCATCTGCTGAAATACACTGCTGAGGGGAGCAGCGAGCGAGACTGGAGAGGTCTGCTGCACCATGTGGTTAGCTCCCTGGCCAGGGATTGAACTCATGCTGCAGTGGCTAGTGATAGCTTGATAGAACTGAGACTTTAACCCCAGGCACCACCAGGGAGGTTCCCTTTGCTTCTAATGTAGCTGTGCACTGCCAGCACACTGATATTGTCAGCTATAAAATAATATTGCCCTTTGATTAAGAGCACTGGGCCTGGAGTGAGACTACTGAGATTTGAATCTTGAGTTCTGCAAAGTATTAAGTGAGCCCCACGTAGTCTCATCAGTAAAATTAGGTTAATAATATTGCTGACTTTCCAGGCCAACATGAGGATCAAACAAAATCATCTAGGCAAAGTATTTAACACAACACTTGGCATATCATATGAAATCAAAGAATATTAGCAATTATTTTATGGTTCACTATAATTATTTTTGACTTTTCAACTTCAATTTGGTAAATGACAAATAAGTCTCTGTGCATCCCTGCAGCCACCACTGTGTGCTCTGTGCTGGTCTGTTCTCTGATGCTCAGTCTCAATCACTCCGTGTGCAGTGCCCCCTCCCTCAGCCACATGTGGCACCCACCCTTCCAGGTCCCCAACCACATCCTCCTCCATTCAACGTTCTTCTCTGCATCTTCCCCTTCTCCAGGCCTGTGCCCAGACTATCTCGTATCTATGGAGGAAGCTCCCAAGTTATTCTTCCTCCAAAAGAGACTCAGTAGCAGCCAGCCTTCTCAAAACAACTGAAAAAAAGAATGGGGCCTCCCTGGTGACACAGGGATTAAAGACATAGCACTATCTGCAGCCACTGCAGCACGAGTTTGATCCCCAGCCATGGTGTTACCCACATGGCACGGCAGACCACTCCTGTTTCGCCTGCTGCTCCCCTCAGCAGTATGTTTCAGTAGATCTGCCTGTTTGTTCCCTGCTCTGTCTCTGGTGAATCCTCTTAACCCCTTCCCCAGCATTTCTGGTCTACAACAAGCTCTCATATGCATAAATAAATAAATCTTTAGGGCCTCTCCAGTGGCTCAGCGGTTGAGTGCTAGGCTGCGAAGCTGCCTGCTGCTGTGCCAGTTCAATACCTGGCCACCAGTGAGGGTCCCAACCTCACCACAACAGATCTCTCCTGCTATGCCTGCTGCTCCCCTCAGCAGTGTACTTCGTCAGTCTGCCTGTTCTGCTCCCCACTCTGGTTCTGGTGAATTCTCTCACCTTCCTGCGCTTCTGACTGTACCCAGTGCTTGTATAAGTAAATAAATAAATCTTAAAAAAAAAAAAGAAAAGAAAACTACCAATCTGTTACTCTTATTTCAAGGTCAAATGAAGGACTTTGACAAATACGCACAGAGCAATCTATCCTGTCACTTCTCATGATCTCATTTAAGTTGTATTCTTCCTTCCCCAAGCCTATGAATGAAAAGCTTTGGATCTGTAGATCACATGTGGTCCAGTTCCTCACCATCTGTGCTCCTGCATTTCTTTCCCCTCTGCCATGTCACTTTTTCATGCCCTAGAGGGCAGCCAGGTTTGACCTTCCAACCTTATAATAACTAAGAAATGATGTATCTCATATCAATGCACAATACACAGCAAGTATGATACTATATTATCTGTACTTTCCTTTTAATGTCTAATGATAAGAATGTAAGTTCTCTCCATAATTGTGTCCAGACTTTTGGAAGCAAAAAGAATGGTCTGCCTGGCTCTGGTTTCATCAACTCATTCACCATCAGTTTTTGGGACTCTATATGGCTACCACCTAATGTTACACTAACCAGTGATAAATGGTAACAAACTACATGGGTAACAATGGGTAGAGGGAGTGAAGAATTCCAAATTAATTGAATATAAATAATGCCATTTTAAAAAATAAGCCTTTTATGTGAATACAGGACACATACTTGGAACTCAAAGAAAATGAGTACTTGTTTATGGCTACACCAAAGTTATACAGTAGTCCAACAACTGAAGAAATACATGAAATGTAATGGGCCATTAACAATTAAGATTATCCATGAAAAGAATACACTGGAGTCAGTTAAATTAATTGCTGGTACAATTGACAGAAACCCCTATCACCTTGGCATAAGCAATAATTAAATCTAATGATTATCTCACATGTCAAGAAGGCCAGTTATCATTGGTTCTGGCATCGTCAGGGTCCAGCCTAGCTTACTCATGATTTTCTTCACCATGACATTGGGCTGGCGGGATGGTGCTGCAGACATCATGCAGAATTACAGACACAGCAAAGTTCAGACTGGAGAAGTCAGATGGTGGTCTTTCTTGGGGCTTGTGTTGGGACTAGGACCCCGCTTTTGGGAGCAGTCCCAGGAGACTCTTCCATGATCATTGACCAAGACTAGGTTACATGTCTTTTAACCCACTCAGCTGCAAGGTGCCTGGGCATGGTTTTTGCTCACCAGTGGAGCAGAGTAGATCTTAGGAGTCAAATATTATCTCCTGGTAGTCCAGGGTACATTTAACTACCTCTGGAGAGACTTTACATAGACACTAATGAGTTTGTGGGCGTATGATGGAAGTGTGTATATGTGTGTGTGTGTGTGCATTATAGTGTCTGGTCAATGAAGGGGGCATGATCTTAGGCCCCAGACTACACTCTAAGGGTAACTCTCAAACACAGATAAAGAGATCAAAGAAAAACATCATAGCCAGGGGCCTACAAAAGGCACAGTTTATTTCATAAAGTACTCTGGCACAGGCACTTACACAGACCCCTGCACACTCCTTTTAGGGCTCTTTTTTCAAGGGTGCTGGAAAAGCCTTATTCTTTATTCCTGCTTTTATTAAATCTGTAGACTAAGGTGACCGCAGGCCAAGAGGACAAAGTGGTTGCTCACACAGAGCCCTTTGACATGTGATGAAGAGGCACCTTTAACCTCCCAAGCTCTCCCACGACAAACAAAATAAATGCACAAAAGCACAGTGAGCCCAAACTAGCCATCTGTGCAGGGATGAGACCGTTCACCATGGGGCAGTAACATTGCTATGTAAAACATGTGAGAAAAGAACATGACCGTGACCTCTAAGCATGTGTCTTACTTGAGTCAACATGGGAAAAAGAAACCACAAGTTCCATGGAAATTAACCAAGACTCCCAAGAATGAAGTATGACCTTGGGCTCCTTTTAGACCCTCATCACAGGAGTGAGTGAGTATATGAGAACTCAATATTGTGATGTTACTCAGAAATGTTTATATTGATTGAAGCAAAAATGTGTTATCAATCATCCTGGAACCCCTCAAGTCCTTGGTCCTGTCGTTACTATTTGTTAGCAAAGGTGTGTGTCTTCCAAAGATACAGTGAGCTGGTGTGCTAAGGAAAGTTTCCTTTATGGATAAAGTTAATATTTCAGGTCAGATCTATTCTTAGTTCAGTGTGTTTTAAAAAAAAAAATCACTAAATTCCAAAAAGTAAGAAAATATCTAAATGTTTAAATAAAGAAATACCTAAATCTTAAATATCTAAAGTTCCATCTCTGGGTGTTTTAATTTGGGGACATTTTTGCAAAGGAAAGGAGACTACCATTGGCTGAACATGTCCTAAGTGTCTGTTTCCCAACTCAGCAATGCTGGCTTCATCATCCCAGCATTCTATATGATTCAGTGTTATTAGGAAGAGATGTGGGTCTGACCCCAAGCTCTGTGCTAGTTAGGCAAATGACCTGTGTGCTGCTGTATAGAAGAAGATAGTAACAGTACATACCACATGAGATTGTGGTGGGAATTGAATGAGTTAAGGACTATTAAGTGCTCTTAGCTCAGCACCTTCAAATGCTAAGTGCTTAGTAAAATATCTGCTTTTGTTTTATTCTTTTCCTCATTTTACAGGTCACATCATCCTATCTCAGTGAGGTTAAGTAACTCATCATATCTAAGAGAAGTTAAGAAATTAGCCTAGGGCCTCCCTGGTGGCACAGGTGGTTGAGCGCTGGGCTGTGAAGCTGTCCACAGCCTCTGCAGTGTCAGTTCGATCCCGGCCGGCTGGCGAGGGTCCCACATGGCACGGCAAACCTCTCCTGTCTCGCCCGCTGCTCCCCTCAACAGTGTATTTCATTCAGTCTGCCTGTTCTGTTCCCCGCTCTGTTTCTGGTGATTCCTCTCACCCTCCCGCGCATCTGGCCTATATCCCAGGTCTTGTATAAATAAATCTTTTTTTTAAAAAAAAAAGAGGGCCTCCCCAGTGGCTCAGTGGTTGAGTGCTGGGCTGCGAAGCTGCCCGCAGCCTCTACAGTGCCGGTTTGATCCCCGGCCACTGGTGAGGGTCCTACATGGTGCAGCAGATCTCTCCTGCCACGCCCGCTGGTCCCCTCAGCAGTGTCTTTGTCAGTCTGCCTGTTCTGTTCCCCGCTCTAGCTCTGGTGAATTCTCTCACCCTCCTGCACTTCTGACTATACCCAGTGCTTGTAAAAATAAATAAATAAATCTTAAATAAATAAATAAGCCTAAAAATCACCATATAATCATGAGAGAGGGATTCAAACTCTTTTCTCTAATTCAGGTTTGTCTAGCTAAAGAGTCTTCACACCTCACAAAAATGATGTCATTTTTCTATTGAATCACTGATTTCACACTTTACTCCACCTGGGAAAGCGGGATGAAGTCCTTAAAAATTGGAGCTCAAAGGTGATTTTAGAGATTCATTGTGAGTGCTCTGCTACTAGAGGCTACTAAGGGGATGTTGCTGAATGACCCACAAATGGAAAGTCTGCGCTGAAGACCCTGATAAATGATCTTTTTGCCATTTTGAAGGATGGCCTGAAAACGTATTAGTACTCATAGCTTGGGCAAAGCAAGGCAAAGTGGTTTTCCTAGGACCCCACAAAAGGCAGGAGACAGAACCCCGAGGGGAAGTGTGTGGCTACATTATCTATGCTCTTCACCACCCCCTATTCTGAAAAAGCTCTCAATGTATGCAGAATGAACTTAGCAAAATGTACTCAATCAATACAGCATAGACTTATTATAAGCAACGGATTCATCATTGTGGAGGCTAAGGAGTCCGAGACCATGCTGGAGAACTAGGAAAGCTAAAAGTGTAATTCAGTTTAATTCTGAAAACCCAAGAACCAGGAGTACCCATGTCCATTTGCAAGGCATGAATGTCCCAGGCACGCAGAGAAAATTCCCTTTCCCACTGCTCTTTTGCTTTCTTCTGACAACAGAATGTAGGGTCCCCATCCACAGTGTTAAGGACCACACCCTCTATTAGTCTACTGATTCAAACATTAAAATCTTCTGGCTGCACCCTAACAGACACCCCCAGAAATAATGTCTTACCACCTATCTGGGCATCCCTTAGCCCTCAAATTGACACATAGAATTAGCCATCACATCCAGCTTTGTTTTCTGTGCTCTGGTAAGAGAAATGAGTTGGAAGAAAAGTGAAACCAAACCAACCAAACAAATTAATCAGCAAACATCCTCATGGCCTTGGTCTGGGGTGGGGGTAGGGCCCTGCAGGGTCAGTCACTCTTGATGTCTGAGGCTTCTCTATTTCTGTCTACATTACCATGATCTTTACTCACGAACATCTCCATGTACTTAAGACATCAATTAGCAATGAAAGATTGAGTTTTGCTGACATGTTAGAGTAAGAAACCAACGTTTCAATAGAGATTTGGAATGAATTTTCTTAACTTACCAGAAAATTGAAATAGATCAGAGTGCCCCAGGGATGATTAAGTTGCTTTTTCATTAACTATAGTGGAAACTCTTTATGAGAGCTTATTCTTTTATGGATTTGGATATTGTTTTGGTTGAATTACATGGGCCTAAATAAAACAACCACCAAAAAGAAACTTCTTCTGAGTTAGCTGAGTTGAAAGGTAATGGTAGCCTTCTGACACTAAGGTTTAAAGGTTTTTCAATGCATTATGTACAGGTTATAGCAAGTAGAATTGATGGCTTGATTTTTGAATATTTAAGTCACCACAAAGAATAAATTTGAAATATTTAAATCATCCAAAATAGAAAAATAAATGCATGACTTTAATATATGTGGTTTGACCTAAAATGGAAAAATAAAGACCCACAAATAAATTTGAGCTCCAACCAAATATGCAGGCTGACACATTTAGGTGAGAATGTCATGATGTTTTTAACTGAATTTGAATTTGAAATCCAAAAAATAAAAAGGCATAGGGAGTGTGTGTGGGGGGGTAAGAACAAAGAGGGAAGGAAGCACAATGGACTATGGCGGTGGACTCTGGGTGATTCGGTGGTGGGTACCCTATGGTGACCATACCTGATGGGATGTCCAAATATTACCTCAATTAAAAATAAATTTAAACAAAAGGAAACAAGCAAAAATTAAAATCAATATTAAGAAAATGTTCCATGAAAATAAAATCAGTCTTGTTGGATGGATATAGGAATAGGTAGACATATAACACAAATCTATAAAATGTTGTTGGATGTAAGTGGTGAGTACACAAATAGTTCCTGTATAGTTCTTTCAAGTTTATAGTAGGTTTGAAAATTTTCATAAAATGTGAGGGGGAAAAAAAAAAGGAAGGCTTGTTAAATTGTTATTATCAGACTTCATTTAAAAGAAGAATCCAGAGCCTTCCTGGTGGCCTAGGGGTTAAGTCTCAGCACTATCACCGCTATGGCCTGAGTTTGAGCCCCAGCCAGGGAGCTGACCCACATATGGCACAGGAGGCCTCTCCTGTCTTGCCCGCTACTCCCCTTACTAGGGTATTTCAGTATATCTGCCTGTTCTGTTCCCTTCTCTGTCTCTGGTGAATTCTCTTACCCCCTGCACCTCTGGCCTATGCCCCAGTTTTTCTATGCAAAAAAAAAAAAAAAAAGAAGAAGAAGAAGAATCCAGAATTGCATGTATTATAGGAAGTCTCACAATAAGTGAACTTGATCATGAAAATGTAGAACAATGGTATTGATTGTGATGTATTGACTGAGTGCCTAGTATGTGCCAGACAAAGTGCTTAATATTATCTAATTTAGTTCAGTACTTTCAAGTATTGTTTAACGTCTGTGTTATTAGCTTTATTTTTACAGGCTAGAAAATGGAAAATGGTGTAAGATGGTTATGTAACTTTCGGTGGGTGTTGATGCAGGAAGTGCCACAGCTGAGAGTCAAACCATGTCTGTGGGTCTACAGCCCTTGCAGCTAGTGATTGCACTCCAGGAAAGGAAAATGTGAATTGGAGGCATTTAGAGATTATCTAGTTCAATTTCCCACCACTTGTTACAAATGACATTCAGGGTCTTTCACATTAGAATCCCAGAATTTCTACTCTTTAACAAAGGCTTTTGCCGGTATCATGATGTCTCTCTAGTGGAGAATTTTTTTTTTCCAAAATGGATTTACTCTAAGTTTCCTTTAAGTAACAAATTTCCATAATGCACTTTAACTATAATATGATAGTAGAATTTGATCTATATACTTTTTTCTTTTTTTCTGGTATCATGTATGTCATTAACCATGGCACCCTGATGCTATAAAGAGTATGTCCAAAAATGTAACATTAGTTTGAGCTTTTGAATGCACTCAATGATTCACATTTCCCTGGTGGGAAAAATGCATGATTTTCTGAAATAAGTACGTGTTGCATCTTTTTGGCTGAAAAATGCTATGATTCTGACAATGCAGGTTTTTTTTTTCCCCCCCACAGCTCAATTCTAAAACCATAGCTTTCTGAGTCGTTTTAAAAAATTTTAGCCATGACTGATTTATTCAATGCAAATCACCTTAAAAACATGAACATAAAAAGGGAAGTTGAGTATTAAAAACAAAAAGGACCTATCTATGTCTTTTCTTCCATCTGTACCTCTCCCTTCACCCTAGCTAAGGTCTCAGTATCTCTCCCTTAATTCTGATATGAGAATGTGGCAGCATCATACAAGTCAACAGATCCACTAAGTCTTCTAGGTTTTAAGTTCTCGTCAACTTTCCATCTACTCTGTTCTTTTAGTTCAAATGTTTGGCAGCTTGGGCTTAACTTTTGACTCTTCTACTTACTAGGTGATTGTCAGTAAACATCCTTATCGTCTGATTTGCTTGTCTCTAAGTTATAAAATATTTATCTGGGAGGGCTATTACAGACATCAGACTTCAAAAATAAAGAAAAAAACACCAAGAGCAATAAAAGTTGCAATAAAAGTTTTTTTTTAAATTCTGTCACATTT